AAGTGGCCTAAGGGCCTTCTACTAGGTTCCACTACTTCCCAATATTGCCACCAGCTGGGAACCCAAGCTTTTAACACATGGAACTTGAGGGACACACGATCTAAGCTATAGTAAAGAACATATGGCAGAAGTGATTTGGTATAAAGTGGTCTCCTTGATGGCTTGCTTAGAGGGAGACAAAGCTTCCCTGTTGAGAACACCCCTACTGATAGACCCTGAAGCATGGAGCCTATACCCAGTGGGAAACTGAGGCTTGTCCACCAAGTGAATGAGTTTGGCAGTGGGTTCTCCAGCCCAGGTAACCCTTAAGTAGGTGGTGGTAGTAGGCAACAAGTCGATTGCAACCTTGTGAGAGACTTTGAACCAGGATCATCAAGCTAAGCCTCTCCCAGATTAGTGAGCCTCACAAACTGATGGCATAATAAATGTTTGTTGGTTTAAGATACATAATAAATACACACAGGAGTATCATAGATGAATGGTGAGTTCTTTCCATTTTATCCTATCAGGTAGCACACATTTCAATCTGTCCTATTATTGATGATGTTTATTTGATCTGTTGATTAATATGGTATCTTCTGAGTTTTTCTTTTGTGAAGTTATTCTTTTTTTTTGGGTACCGGGGATTGAACTTAGGTCTTTGCACTTGCACAGCAGGCAACGAAACCACTGAGCTAAATCCCTGGCCCTTCTTTTTCTTTTAATTAATGAATATGAAAGGTATTTCAAAACTATGTAAATATCCGTTCTTCACCAAACTTTTCATCTTTTCATGTAATTTTCCCAGTATGAGATCTTTTTAAAAATTAATTTTATTGGTACATTTTAGGTATACATTATAATGACATTCATCATTGGGAATTTACACATTTACATAATCTCTCTTGGTTCTTATTTTTTCCCCATTCGCCTGCCCTCCCTTCAACCCCTCCATCCCTTTCTATTTACAAAGACTTTGTTTCCATTTTCTCCCTAGTATGAGATCTTGATTTACTATTAAATCAATGGGATATTTATTTATTATCAGTGGACTATAATCTGTTACTGACATTATTTATTTTGATGTTCAAATTGTTCCCAATTTTACCAGTCCCCTCAAGCCTGCTCCTGTGTCCTTTGGACATGTCCTCATCATTCTTAGAGCACTTCCCTGATTTCTGGCACAAGATGTTTTAGGCTCATCATGTTCTTTGTCCTAGCCCTGAAATCAGTCAGTTCTCCAAGAATCCCTGATTCTTTTTAATGGAAAATAGTATTAAAGCTACGATCTGGGCACTAGGTGTGCCTGTCACTGGAGGGTCACTGTTCCCAGGCCCATTAAAAGAAATATACATATTTACATGTATATATATGTATGTATGTATAAAGGTATATATAAGTATATACATACGTATCTATTTTATATATTATATATAAATATGTTAATACTTTAATAAATATAAGTAATATGTAGATTACATATTTAAACCCATAAATTTATACTGATACCTATAATTATAGGGTATCCAGGTTTATTCCATCCTTCTCACTTTCTTTCCATTTTAGTAACCATCTTCTCCAACAGTGATAAACTTGGCTCTGATTACCTTATTATATTTACTTATTTGGTTAACCCCCTAATGTAACCAATCTCCTGTTGCCCTGTGTCCACCCCCTTCTGCCACATGGGTGCCCTCCATTCAGGCTCTGGCTTCTGTTGTGGGGTCAGAGCTTTCAAGGATGCCCTCCTCATCAGCCTCCACCACACCCTCCATGTAGAATCCCATGGCTCCCTCTGTCTACATAGGCTCTCATGTCTTCTTCCTGCCACCCCTACACATGGGTCCCCCTTCATGCCATTCAGGCTTTAACTTCCCACTCTGGGTTTACCCTCTGCAGGGATGTCCTCTTTGCCTTGCTTGGCCTCTGGCTCCCACTCCAGGTGCCTCCTATCCCAGATGGAGGCCCTTCTCATACCATGTGAACTCTGACATGCCCCAGGTTGTCACAGACTCCATCCTTGAGCAGATGTCTTCTTGTCTTATAGCTTTAGGACTGGCTTGTGCAGGAGGAAGGGGAGGGACAGGGCTTGATAATTATGTAATGGATGTCAGCACTGAAGGGGGCATTCTGTTCCCCTACAGCTGAATTTTTAATTTCTTCTGTAGTCTGGGTTTCAGATTTCTAGTTATACTGAAATATCTTGAAAAGCTTGTTGAAATACAAATTCCAAAGCAAGTGAGGGGGGTGGGAGAAAAAAATAACAATAATAAAAATAGGAGCAACCAAAGTGTCCCTAGAAAATAATTAAGTAACTGGGTGTGTGGGGGGGCTCAGTTTTCATTTCACACTTTTGGACTCCTTAAAATCTCTATACATCTGCCTTTATCTTAATAGTACTAACAGATTATAGACTATCTTTTATTTATGATTTTCAGTATAAAAAACACAATTAGCATCATTCTTATTTTTTTAAAGAGGGAAACAGAATTTAAAGCCTTATTGCTAGAGATTCTGATCCAGTACTCTTGGGTTGAGCCTGGAAATGCATACCTTATAAAATTCTCCATTTGAATGTAGTGATCTGCCAGTCGGAGCCATTGCCCCTTTGGACCCTTCCAGGCCTGTGGCACACAGCTGTCTGAATACCCAGTGGGAGAGCACCCAGCAATCCTTCACAGAGTAACAGTGACCCAGGAAGCCATGCAAGCATCTTTCTGAAAACTCAGGAGAGATAGATGTTATTTTGAAGACTCAGAAGCCTGCTAACACCCTTTGCCAAAAGACAGTTTTTCTGATTCTTATTGTTAGTGAAATGAAGGAAACCTTTGAAAAGATGCAAGTTAAGTACTCCTCAGAACTGTCAAGCTCATCAATGCAAGTAAAGTCAGAAAAACTGTCACTGCCAAGAGGAGCTAAGGGAGACATGATGACTAAATGTAGTATGTCTTGGATGGGGCTCAAGAATAGGAAAAGGACATTAGCTAACAACTAAATGTGGACCTCAGCTAAGAATAATGTATCTGGGGCCAGGGATTTAGCTCAGTGCTTCCCCCACCTGCCTTGCAAGTGCAAGGACCCAAGTTTGATCCCTGGTACAAAAAAAAAAAAAGAATAATGTATTAGTATCAGTCTATTAATTGCAAAACTGTGCCACACTAATGGAAGATGTTAATAATATAGGAACCTGATTGTATGGCATGTGAGAACTGTATACTCTGCACAGTAATTTAATGAAGTTAAAATGGTTCTATATTAAAAGTTATTAGAAAAAAGATCCAGATTGCAAGAGATGTAATGATATGACATGAGAGGCTCAATGGTAACACTTCTTAAATTACCAGGAAATTGTGGGTCTTCCAGAATGGGCATGAAGAATATAAGCAGGGTGTCATCACCTGCACGTGAGAGATAAGACACATGGCAATTACTACATCTCATTGGTTTGAGCTTGTAGGAATGACAGGCCATGGCTGCTGCTGTTCCAGGAAATATGAGGACAGAAGGGACACAGCTCTCAAAGGTTACTTTGTGAATACCTCATAGATGACCAATTACCTTGAGGGGGTGTCTGGCCCTGTGTACAGGCAGGTAGAAAGGAAGGCTATATAAAGAGCAGTTGTCTTCTTTGCCCTTTGGAAATAGCTGTTATGTGCTTCCTGTGCCAGCTGTTGTTTGCTTCCTCTACTGGGAGAAATGCCTTCTCAGAACAGACCCCATGCTCTGCGAGATAACTGGGTCCTGATTTCTGTTGCTGCATCTCAAAGCTGAGGGCATGCTCATTACACAGCAGTTGAATGTTCAAGTTCAAGCCTGCAAAACAATACAGCCAAATGTCAGTGGCCCCTCCAACAGTTTGTAATAACACAGCTGAAACGTAAAAAAACTGAATGTCTTTTTATCCTTAGGTAGATAATGTGTCCTACAAATGGGAGAGAAATCATATAACTTATGAATTACATCCTAAATTGAGAACATTTTGCCTATTTCAGGTCAGAAAAATCATCATGTTTCATTTCTGTAAAACCAAAAGTTTTATAAAAGAACATAGATGACAATTTTATTTTATAGTTCTCAGGAAGAATGTAAAAAAGTATTTTCTGCTATACCTGGACTAATAAAAATTTTAATGACTATGGCTAAAACATAAAAAAGACTGCTATTGCTACTCATACATGTGCCTGTGTACACTGCCTGTCTGTCTCCTTGGGTGGCTACAAATGTGTGTTCAACTGCTGGAAGTATCTCTTCTCTGCCAGTATCTGGAACTACTTCCTCCCTGCCAGAGCCATCCAGGAACAGAGCGCTGGAGCTGGGTGTGCTATATGTGTTTTAACTGGCTGTGTTGGTCGAGGTCAGTTGTAGAAAGCATAATCCACTCTTGGCAAAGTAAACAGAAAGTGATTGATTCTAGGACTTTAGGTGGCTTTCAGAACCACTCGAGGCTGAAGAAACAGACTGTTGACAGGGCCTTCAGGAATGTTCCCCAAACCATATGATGAGCCATCAGAGTAACTACTGGATCTGCCTTGATCAGGAAGCTAGCACAGCAGCTGCTGGCTTCAAAACCAGCCACCTCAGCTGTATTCAAAAAGCTGCCACTGAGCTGGCCAACTGAAGAATGTGTTGCCTTTGCCACAGTCTGCAAAAACAGGTACCTATATCCCGCTTCTCTCCATGTGATTCTGTTTCAAAACAAAGCATATTGTAGATAAGAGCTGTAGATAGATCCTGAGTCCCATTTTGAACCCAAATTTCAAAGGGGTCTGGAATATTAGTATTTGCTTTTCACCGTTTGTACACTGGAGGGAGAGTTCAAGTGGAAATAGAAGAATAGAATCTGTGTTATCTGGCACACTCTGTCCCTCCAACCACCCTGCTAACTGTGCCTTCTCTTCTTGTTATAGTAGAACTTGAAAGTCCAAGATCTCTGAGCGTGTGCAGCTCTCATCATCAGGGCTGCATGAGGCTTCTCATAACCTTATGACCTATAAACATAGAAATTGCCTATTTCCTCCTAGATTCATTGGTGGCAAAGGAAGATAAAAACTCTTAGAAGGGGAGATAAGAGAGCTGCTGCATCTGGACATCTGCAGTGGGCAAGGCCCACCAGAGGACAAGTGGGAATTGAACTGGAAAAGAGCTTCTGAGAGCGCAGCCCTGGACGAGGAGAGAATGTGGCAATGCCTCCCAGCAGCAGAGGAAGTGGAACCATTCAGGCCACAGTCCATAAAATGTAGGGGTCAGTTTAGGGATGAGTGAAAAATATTATTTTTAATGGTGATAATGTCTGGTGGGTTCTGAGAAGAATATAACAGCAGCCTTGTTTTTAAAAACCTCTCTAAATCTACACACAAAAGTAGAACTTCTAAGAGAAAAAACCAAATATCCATGGACAAACTTACCTCAGAACTGCACAAGGTACCCTCCAAATCTCAAACTATCTGAAGGTGGTGGAGAAAGCCACCAGAAGACACAGTCCTGCATGGTATCAGTGTTGGTGCAAAAGGAAGAGGTGAGGAGAGAGCAGTGGGGCCTCTGACAGCCAGAGTCTAAGAGGACACGGAGTAGCTAACAAACCCTCAACTGACCCGGGGAAGGGTTCTCCAACTGAACACCAGGTGAGTGCTGGGATTCTTAGTGAGTCCTGACAGGGACTAAGGCCATTTGGACCACATAAACTCTTGACATCAAGTGGCCAAAGTCCCTTCCAGCACAGGAACCCACCTGCTGACAGTGAAGTCAAAGAATAGGACATTGACAACAAATATGAATGTGGGAGAAAGGAATGTGGAGAGAGTCTCAGCAAGCAAGCTGTACAGTTTTAAAGTTTGCTTACTGAGCAACGGAAGAGCACCAAGAGCCAATCCCATATAAAGTTGTCAGAAGAACAACAGAGCACAGAGAAAAATAACAGCCCAACAGCCAATGAAATCATGACAGACAGACAAGCCAAGAGTCTTGCCAAGAAGTGCAACATATTATCTAAAAATAAATGTAAAAGTTTAAATTCAAAAAGAAATTGAAAAACCCAGGTATGTAGCTCCGTGGCACAGACCCTGGCTGGCAAGCATGAGGTGCTGACTTAGATCCCCAGTACCAAGAAAAAAAAAAAAGTTTAGGAGAAATTGTAAAATACTGATAATAGACAAAGAAGATTAAACATGGATAGTAAAAGTTTTGAAAAAGTAAGGCAAAGCAAAGGAATGAAAAAAAATCTAAAAACAGTAATCCAAAGAAAAAAAGTTTTCTGGAACTAAAAAAACTACTTAAAACTGCATCTTGAAAGAGCATACCACATACCTGAGAATACTGACCCAGAATGAGTAACATCAGTATGTAGTATAAGTGAACTATACTTTAAAGGGAAAAAATTATTTAGACTTCCAGACAAAAAGATCAAATGACTTTAAAGGGGAAGAAAAACAGATCACCATAAGGCTTTTTGGATGCAATACTGTAGGCCAGAAAAAAAGAGCAAAGTAACATATTTCAGACTTTCAAGAAAAGAAAATGTGAGTTGAGGATGTTATTTTTCAAGCTTTTCAGTATAAAAGCAGAGCCTGTTTGTTACCAGTAAGTAAAAACTGAAAGTATTGCTCCTGTGAGCCCTCCTCGGGGAGTCTTGTGGGGAATGAGCTATGTACAATCAGAGTGACTGCAGACACTGCTATGGGTTGGATAGGAGACCCCCCAGGGGCACACGTGTTAAGGGATTGGTCACCAGTTCATTTTGCTCCTGGAGGTGACAGAACCTTTACGAGATAGGGCCCAGGGCAAGGTAGTGAGGTCACTGGGAGTTGCGGCCTTCAGTGGGGATGTTGGGACTCTGGCCCTTCCTCTTCCCCTCTCTCTTTACTTTCCAGCTGCCATGAGGTGAACAGCTGCCTTGATGTACTGCCTTGCTGCAGACCCAGAAGCAATGGCCAACTGACTGTGGACTGAAACCTCTAAGACTATGAGCCAAAATCAACCTCTCCTTTCTATAGCTGATTATCTCAGATATTTTGTCACAATGACACAAAGTTGATGAATACAAACATTGACATGAAGTCCAGCTTGAAGGTATAGTTACCTGTAGAATTAAAATGAGTGTTAGAAGAGAGAGGGAATGTACTGTGGTTATATGCTTACAGTGTGTAACATAGTATAACTGAAACAAATTACAAAGACAATAAGGAAGAATATGGAAATACAAAGTCTGTTTTCAGAAATCACATTGATGGTGGTAATATTAGTATTGTTATTCTGAAGGTGTTGTATAACTAATATGGGAAAGCAAATAAACAATCATGGAGTATTTTAATTCTGTCTCTTCTTTGTCCTTGAGAAACAATATTCTCCCTTATGTGGAATGCACACAAACAGTTATATACACATGCATGCTCACATACAGTGGTCCTATATAATGATGAGAATTCCTAGTACCCACATTGTGATATTAAAATGCCAATTCCCCACTAAAAGGAACCAGAACTTCTAGGCTTACGTGGCTGATACCAGGTCTGTGTTGGTAAACACACAAAAATAAACCTGGAACTTCTTGCAGTCCAGATAGCAAGAAAGCTATCAAAGCTTACTAGGTTCATATCAAGAGAACCCAGGAGTTAACTTGAAGAAGCTCCCACTGGACAAAGATAGGAGAATTTGAACTTCAATAGAATAATAATTGTGGTAGAATAAAATTCAAGTATGTTTAAAGTTATGTTTGTGATGATAATTTAAAAATCTGGACACATCAGAAGAATAATAGGGAACCATTCAACTATTTGGAAAACTGGCAAAGAGAAAGATCAAATATATGATTCTTTGATTTCATGTGCACTGAACCATTGGATGACCAAATAAGACATGAAGTGTCTATAAATATAATTAAAGGGTTAAATAGTGATAAATTCTGTGCAGAGATATGTTAAGATAATGGTCTTAGAAAGACAAAGATACTCAGAATTTCTGAGGGAAAAAATAACTGGAAAGACATTGTAGAACAGTGCTCTCCAATAGAACTTTCTACAGTAATGGAAATGTCCCATGCCTGCATTGTCCAGTAAAGTAGCCATTGGCCACATGTGACTATCAAGCACTTGACATGTGGCTAGTGCAACTAAAGAATTGTTTTAAATTTACTTTTAATTAATTTAAATGTAACCACACGTGGCTGATGGCTACCATATTGGACAAGTATAGTCTAAGAACTACATTTTGGACTTGAGTGTCTATATACTGGTTTGCAGAATGTGGGTAACATGTAGTAGTAGCTTGGGTTTTTAATATGAAGAAGAAAACATTCTGACTGTATAATCTTGGTAAATAGACTCTATTTATTTACAAAACTAGGCTTCCAAGTGTGAGCGCCTTGTTGGAAAGAAATAAGCAGTCTGATGAGAGAAGCATTGGAAACTGACAAAAACAATGTTAGAACATCCACAAAGGCTAAAACCACAGGGCAACATTGAAGATAGAATCATTTCATGGCAATGTATATCATAGCATATACATCCAGGTCAAGTGAGAAGAGCTATTATTTCCTAATAGAAATTACAAAAGCAGCAGGAAGACAATAGTACAAAGGCATTTACTGAGGTTTTGGTCTATTAGGACTGAAATGTCTTAGGGAAGCAAAATTATAGTTTTGCCCTAATTATAGTTTTTTCCCAGAAACCAGGGGAAATAATGAGAGAATGACCTAATGATGACCATTGGCTGAAAATGAACTGTCAAGGCCAAGGTCTTCTGGTAGGTCTTCAGCTAGAATATTCTTTTGATTCTGTGACCCTGTTGTGACCAGTAGAGAGTCATTTGGTGTTGTGAATATAACAATATAGGTGGGAACCCTTTGTGGTCGCAACACAAAAGTCACTAGGAAAGGAAGTGTATTCTGCAATTAGAACTATTGCTAAACCATCTGGAAAGGCTAACTACAGTTTGATATATGCCAAAATGCTAACCATTGAAAAAGCATATGATTTTAATATATACAAAGTACCACATATAAAATTATTTGAAATTATGCAAATATTGCTTAGTATTTCAGTCAACAACTATAAATGATCATGACATGACAATTTCAGAAACATTTCACTCAGACCACTGAAATATTTTCTTGTCAAACCAGCATATGTTTATTTGTTGTTCAATATGTGCAAGTCAAAAAAAAGCTCAATAAGAATTGAACTATAAAGGTACTCAAACATTAGTTCTGCCTTTAAGTATAAGACACAGTTATTATCAGAAATGGTCATATTATAATCATCCAAGTGAGTAATACTCTTTAAGAGCATAAAAGGGCACCAATGAGGATTTTCTTTGAAAACATCTGGTATGTCTAATGAATTTCTGCCCAAAGTGCTTCTCTTGTGTGCATGGGAAGTGCAGTTAAAGCTAAGTGTCATCGTGCTCAGCATTGGAGGCACCAAACAAAGTGTTAAGTAGCCCATAAATGAGAAAACAAGTATATTATCCTAAATAAGACTAATGTTATCCCTTGAGGGAAAACACAGAACTCTCCTTGAAGATGGAATTAGGTTTTATAAATAAAAAGAAATGAGCCTGAAATGTTGTAATTATAATATTTTATCTCCAAAAATACTGGTGGCATTTGAATGAGGAACAATAGGTCTTTTCCACTGGAATAAATAAGAGAAAGTAGTCTCACAATTTCTACATCATTTGATGTTTAAATATTGGTCTTTCATCCAAAAACAGATGCATCTAGGCTAATAAAAAGACTGTTCTGAGCAGTACTGGAAGCATTACTGAGGTTACTGTCATTTCTTTCCAGTACTGTCAGAGACAAGGCAGAGACCCTGGTGCGGGTCTTGGAGGTAGTTGTATTTCTTTTCTACTTTGGGAATACATAAGTCAACAACGAAATCAAGTGTTTCCTCATTAGAAAAGGTGTGGTGAATCTAATGTTGCTGCTCCTATCTTTGTAATTGTTAAATGATGCCTGCCCAATGTAGGATTAGTAGTATGATATCATTTACAAAGAAAGCTTACTTTCTGTTGTTGCACCTATTTTGGTACCAGGGATTGAATTTAGGACCTTGCACTTGCGAGGCAGGCGGTGGCAGCACTGAGCTAAATCCCCAGCCCTTGGAAAGCTTATTCTTCAAAAATGTGCAATATTGCATTGACCACATATAAATAAGGTCTTATTTAGAATGTTACATAGCTCACCCATAGGCTGTAGATGCCTTAGGCCAGAGGCTCTCCAGCTTCACAATCACCTGGAAGACTTGTTAAAATACTTTTATTGGACATCACCCTCAGAGTTCCTGCCTCAGTAGATCTGGAATGGGAGCTGCTCTGACAAGTCCCAGGGTCTGACTAATGCTGATGGTACAGGGACCACACTTTGAGAACCACTGTATTAAGACTACCGGGTTTCCCTGAAAATAAGACCTCACCAGAAAATAACCTTGAAAACTAGAGATCAAGTCAGCCTATCCGCACCTTACCTGTCTTACAGAGTAGCCACTGGGCAAGAGAATAGCGATGGCAGGTAAAGAACTCACTATGACTGGCTTCATATTGAAACAAATGTTTCTTTATGAATCCATTTTTCCTGGTCCTTTTCAATGTCTTTTATGTAGCAGAGCAAAAAGGACAAAGGGAATAGTTGTATTTTCTGACTCTCCTCAGAAATGGGTTGGAGACTATAGTGAGGTGGTGTCAAGACCCTAAACCCACCTGCCACTCAGTCTGAAACCATTTGGGTTTTTACAATTACATTGTTTGTAAACATTTCCCATTACTCCCAATGACCTTGAAGTCATTTAGGAGAAGCAGTATGAGGACTCCTGACAAGAATCCAAAGCTCTGGGTGGAGGTGACTGGCATGAGGTCACATTGGTTGTTGTCCTAACCCTATTCTATGGGTCATTAATGGGCTCTGGTCCTGTTGCCACACTGCCTGCCTGGTATGTGTTCAGGTGAGGCTTCTAGGACAGGAGCCATAAAGGATAAAGTAACAACTTGGTTCTTTAGTATTCTCTTTCTCAGCTGCGTATTTAGTTGCCCAAAGGTATCTGAACATCCATGGGATGTCTGACATGATTCTTTCCAGAAACATTTTGTAATGCACATGGGGTTCTGTGCAAAGGTGTGACTTCAAAGACAGGACAGAGGCTATTAGTCCTATTGTACTAATAGACTTTAAGCATCTCATCTGTCAAATGGATGTTATAACCCCTGTGCTTCTTGCCCCCAAAGTGGATGTGAAGATAAATATATGCAAGAGGGCTTTGAGAAATGGTGGGTGCTACACGGGTGTAGACAGTGTGGTGCAGGAGGTGTCACTGCAGCTGCTGCTCTGTGGTTGCTAATGGAGTCACCTTCCTAAAGGGCCTGGTAAAAATGGTTTGGCCCTGAAATTATCAATCATTAAAGAATTCTGGCATCTCTCCTTGAATTATGTAAGTGACTGTGGAGTTGCTATATATTTCTGAGGGAAAATTGAGAAAAAGAGTTTGAATGTTAATCGTCCCAGCCACTCACCATTATAATATATTAGCCACAGATAACTATTACTAGTTATACTAGTAAATATTCCTGTAGTAATATACTAGAGTAAGTGTTACTTTGAGATTCAGACTTCTTGAGTTGTTTTCAACTCAGTCTTATTTATTTTCAATTTTTGGAAATTTAAGTCACTTTACCCTTTGGTTTTTGTCTACTTCAGTAAGGATGTATCCTAAGATTATGTGAAATTATTAGTGCTTTAAGAGAGGGCATATATTTCATAAATAATATACCAAATTTGAATTGAAGTATATTACCCTGAAGTGAAATAATTGTGTTTGGTTTCCAGAAAGACTATCCTATTTCAGGTTTTATTTTATTTTGATGCAATATAATATAGTCTCTGGCAACCCCAGGACAGTGCGAGTGTTATAGATAAAGGTAAAGTACACTGAGCTACCATGATAGTCTTCTGGGAAAGTAAGAAAAAGTCCCATTTAATTGTGTTACATCCTATAAAGATAAAGTCCTTTGAGGTGTTTTAATGTACTATTTCCTTCTTCCTGGATGTGGCACTGCCCCTCTAGAGTCCAGCGAAATGTTAACATGCCAAGCAGGAACAGATGCTGCTGGCTTTGAGGTCCAGTTCTGCTCTGGCTGTGGAGAATCTCCCCCAGCTCTATAGATATCCCAGCTAACCAAATAAGTGAGCAAACAGGATGCCTTTGATAAGGTGCACATGAGCAAGTTTTCTCTCTCGGTTTGTTATTCTGGGTGCCCTGGTATAGAGAACCATCCCCCTCTACTGGGCCAGCCCTAGGGCAGATGATGAAGGATGTTCACATCATGACCCTACCCCCTCACGATGTCTTTTTAGTTTACCATCCTTCCCCCATCAGTGGCCTTTCCTTGACC